CAGCTGGTGTCTTGGCTTTCTATGCATTTTTACACCTCCCTATCTTCATGTGTTCAATCCTTTTCCCCTGTGCCATTCAACATTATTACAAAAAACTTAATTTCTGGGCATTTATGGTTTGATTTATTTGTATGATCACTTGGGTTTTTACCGACATCTGGTGAAAATTTCATGTCATTAGCACCTCTAGTAAAATATTTACTGAGAAAAATGGTGATGTGTTCAATACTTATTTTACCCGCTGTATGTTTTAGGATAACGTAGCTGAAATGGTAAAGCTAAATGCTAAATCAACATGAAAGAGTGCGATGTATTGTAGTGATGGTAGAAAAAAGAGATCGGTGAAGGAAAGGATCATTATCACAATATTCAATACTATTCCRGTTGAGCGCCATCTCTAGCAGGTAAGATACTTATTGTTCAGACCTTTTCCACGTTAAAGGACCTGAAACGCCCCATTAGATAAACTACTTTAAGCAGCTCCGGTCAAACTTTAAATTTTTGTTTTTATTTTTGAAGAACATCCGTTCACTGGACTAAGCTGTCTCTTCTGCAATTRCATTCTCTTKYTGTCCAGATCGGAGACCGAATCATCAACATTTGTGGCACCTCTGCTGAAGGCATGAGTCACTCACAAGCTGTCAGTCTGCTCAAGAACGCCACGGGCACAATCCAACTGCAGGTCTCCCAGAGCACACACACACACACACACACACAATCCACCAATTTTGTCACAACCTTTGTGTTTCTGACAAATAAAGCAGCAGACAGTGAGATAATCTGCTGCTGTCTCTTCATTCTGTCGGTGGAAGACGAGCAGCAAATAACTTTAAAGCTCCATAAACCTGGAAGCCCTCGCCCACCTCTGCCGACACGCTATCAGCCTTTTTATCTTGACGGTAAATCTGAGTCCGCAGCGTAACAATGTGGCTTTGTTTGTCGTACGTGTGAACACACCTGCAGGTGGTGGCAGGTGGCGACACCACCGTGACGGGTCCCTGTCAGACGCAGGAGGGCGGGGCTCTGACTCCCAGCTGCATCTTCCAGGACGACATGAGGTAAGAAGCTGTTGTGTGTCCGGTGCTGTCAAGCTAGAAAGTAAGCTGTTTTATTTTGTTGCCAAATGGAACAAAACCTATTACAATGATTATGTTATCTTAAAATTGTTAGAGTAGCTGCGTTTCCATTGCAAATGTGCACAAAACTTTGTCGATATTCTGTTAATGTCGAAAAAAATCACAGTATCACAACTGCGGTGTTTCCATTAAATGAGAAATGCTATTTAAAGTCACGTTTGTTCTCGTGATAAGTCATTACAAACATGGCA